CTTATGGTTGTGGCCCAGGAATGATTGTTATATACTCTAACACGCCCCCTCACGTGCAGGCGTGACCTCTTTGAGCCTTGCACGTGAAATCTTAATTTTTTTAATTTGGGTGGCGGTGAGTTTCGAACTCGTGACCTCTAGGTCATCAAGGCTCTGATACCATGTCAAGGAACCAACTCAACCACAAGCTCAAGCTTATGGTTGTGGCCCAGGAACAGATATTTATATACTCTAACACGCCCCCTCACGTGCAGGCGTGACCTCTTTGAGCCTTGCACGTGAAACCTTAAATTTTTTTTAAACTGGGTGGCGCTGAGTTTCGAACCCGTGACCTCTTAGTCAACAAGGCTCTGATACCATGTCAAGGAACCAACTCAACCATAAGCTCAAGCTTATGGTTGTGGCCCAGGAATGATTGTTATATACTCTAACATTCTCCACCATTAATGAGGGTGATATGGGTGATATCCTAAGACACATCACAAGCACTATCTCAGAGGCTGCAAACAAAGCCATTGGAGCCATGCCAGAGGAGGAGGAAATCAAGAAAACTGTATGGTCTCTCAATGCTAATAGCACTGCTGGAACTGATGGCTTTAATGGTTTTTTCTTTAGGTATGCTTGGGAGACTATTAAAGTGGATGTTTGCAAAGCAGTGCAGGAATACTTTCTAGGGATCCCTATGCCCAAGGCTTTTGGAAGCACCCTAATCACGCTGATCCCAAAAATTGTTGGGGCCATCACCTTGGATCAATTCAGACCCATCTCACTCTCAACTTTCTTTAGTAAAATTACCTCCAGGCTGCTGAGTGATAGGCTAAAGGTGGTCATCCCAAATCTTATCTCCTTAGAACAAGCTGCTTTTCAACAAAGAAAAGGCATCACTGAGCATGTGCTTATGGTCAAAGAAATGGTCCATCTTCTCTCTTCACGTGTGAGAGGGGGAAACTGCATTATAAAGCTTGATCTATCCAAAGCATTTGACAAGCTCTCCTGGTCATTTCTAAGGGAATTACTTCTGAAATTTGGTTTCTCCCCGCATGTGACTAAACTGCTAATAGGAAATCTTGAGTCCACCTTTTTCTCTATTTTGATCAATGGCCAACCCAAGGGCTTCTTTCCCATGAAATGTGGTGTTAAACAAGGGGACCCCCTATCCCCACTCCTCTTTATTCTGGCTATGGAGGGGCTGACTAGGCTTCTTGAGTATTCTACCTCTAATGGACTAATTAGTCCTTTCTCCTCCGGTAGAGCCCACCCCCCTAGTCACTTGCTTTATGCTGATGATATTGTAATCTTCACTAATGCAGATTCCAGGAACCTTTTAAAACTCAGGAGTGCTCTTTCCACCTTCATGAAGGCTTCCGAACAAGAAATCAACTATGCCAAAAGCCAAGTGTTTGTCCATGAAAAGATGAAAGCATTAACAAAGAGAAGCATAAAAAGAATCCTGGGTATCAACTGCAATTCAAAGCAATTCACTTATCTTGGATCCACCATTGTAAAAGGAAAATTGAGGAAGATACACTGTAAAGGCCTGATTGATAAGTTTGAGAGGAGAATTAACACTTGGTATAGCAAGAAGCTAAACCAAATGGGACGACTCATTCTCATCAAACATGTATTATCCTCAATCCCTTTACATATTCTGGCTGCTCAAGCAATCCCCAAGTCCATTATCAAGAGCCTTAACAGACTTATGGCAAATTTTTTCTGGGGTGCAAAGGACCAGGGGTATAAATTCCACTAGCGCAAATGGGAGAAAATGTGCTTACAGAAAAAATTTGCGCATAAGTTGAGCATAAATTTTTATTTACATCAATAGGAATAAAATGATGTCTAACCATGACTCAACTTATCAATTAGTGATGGTACTCGGTTGAACATAAATTTTTTATTTTAAGCACATAAGTTAATGGGAGAAAATGTAAGCATCACTAACCATCAATTAGTGATGCTCAACTTATCAACTAGACTGAACTATCAATTTTATATTTACATCAATAGGAATAAAATGATGTCTAACCGTGACTCTTTAATTTCATTTTTCTATATTTTTTATGAAAAAAAAATAGTTTATACATATTGAATATTTTAAACAATTGAATGGACGAATATTGACAAAGTTGAGCATTACAATAAGTTGAGCATAAATTTTTTATTTTAAGAACTTTTATTCATCCAAAAGGGAAAAAGAAGGAGCATTACAATAAATCGGGAACTAATAGTTCAGTCTAGTGTTCTTGAAAGTGTGAATACCAAATCTAAACACATTGGAATCATACAGAAAGGTTGTATCCATTTTGTGTGCCCAGAACCAGGTTTGGAGCAATAGGTTGATGGATGCCATGAGTTTGTCTTGAGAAAAGCTTTTATTTTCAAATCTGATAGAATTGTAGTACTTCCAAACTGACCAAGTTATCATTCCTGGGAGTATCATACGGATGTTTCCTTTGATACTGGACTTGTTGGATGAGAACCACCAACTTAGTAATGCTTGATGAAGTGTGAGATCACATGTGAAGAGGGGGGCAGCTGCAGCATAAGCATAGGATTTCCACACCTCTGCTACCCTTTTACAGTTCACCAGGATGTGGTGGTCATCTACATTATCCTCCTTGCAAAATGGGCAGAGTGCTGGGATGAAGATCTTCATTTTTTGAAGGTGACAAGGAAAAGGTAGCAGACTGTTCAATCCCCTCCAAAGAAATATACTAATCTTTCCCAATTGCCTTTTGTCCCAAATGTAAGAGCAGCTGATTTGTTTCGGCATATGAGTTAAAGTGGAAAGATTGGCTTTTTGAAAACTATAGGGTCCATCATTCCATATTACTTCTTCCTGTGTGATTGAGCAAAGTGGTAGAGTGCTAGGGATAATTTTACACATTGCCTTCCAAGTGTAAGAGTCATAAATTTGAGGTTTGTATAGGCCATCCCTAAGGTATTTCTCCTTCATGTAAGTGCTCCATATCGACTGTCCATGAGTGATTTTCCACCAAAGATCCATCGAGACATTATTAAGTGTTATTTAAGGGATAAAAAGTTTAAGTCTTATTTTGGGAAATGACTTTTGTTTTAGTGTTATTTAGTGCAGATATGAAAAATAAAAAATTTGAAAAATTATATTGGGAAAAAGTTTGAAAAATGAAAAATGAAAAATTTGAAAAAAGAAAAATGAAAAATGGAAAATTTGAAAAATGAAAAATGAATAATTTGAAAAGGTTTATGTCTTATATTGGGAAATGACTTATGTTTGAAAATATGAAAAATTATTCTTTTATGAGGATAAAGCACTATTGGCACCAACTCTCGAAGTAGTTGAAATGATAAATGAATTTGTTCTGTCCCTCATTCCTGGTGATGAAAAGAAGTACTTGAGTTCTGATTCTTCGTGCCAAGCCGAAGCAGATGTAGGTGTTGATGGCGATTGGATAACAGTTGAGTTTTTGAACGAAATCAAATGTTTGGGAATCCCAAACCACAAAATAGTCTTGAAAAAAGGGGTACCAATTATGCTATTGAGGAACATTGACCAAACATCTGGATTGTGTAATGGGACAAGATTAATCGTTCAAGAGCTGCAAAATAATGTTATTGGTGCAATTGTGGTTTCGGGAAATCGAGTCGGGGAAAAAGTTTACATCCCTAGAATGAATTTGGTACCATCTTATCTAGGGCTACCCTTGAAGTTCCAAAGAAGATAATTCTTGATCACCTCATGTTTTGCTATAACAATCAACGAAAGTCAAGGTCAAACATTGTCATTTGTGGGATTATTTTTAACCAAGTCAGTGTTCACACATGGTCAACTATATTTTGTTGTTTCACGATTGAAGACAAAGACCGGATTAAAAATATTAGTTCTAGATGACAATAGAAACCCTTGCAATCATACCAAAAATGTTGTATACCCTGAAATCTTTCGGAAAATTTGGTATTAAAATAAACATTGTTAACTCTACATTCTATTCCTCAAATATTATTTATTTTACTTTGGCTTTTTTCATTTGTAGTATTAAAAATCATGTGAACAATATATTTACTTTATTCTGAAAAATAAATTTCATTAAAATAAATTTAGAATCGACATAAATGTCTTTCGACCCCGTGCATGGAACGGGTCAAAATACTAGTATATATATATATATATATATATATATATATATATATATATATATATATATATATATATATATATATATATATATATATATATAAAAGAAGCCCAATGAAAGCCCAATCTAAAGTCCAACCCCATAAATCTGCAAACACTTCTTAGGGGGTCACCCATCATTTCTGCTACTCCATGGCGAGCATGCTTAACTCCCTTAAAATTCCTCCAAAGTTGCCCCTTCTGATGATCGAACCCAGGTGATGTAGTTCGCCAATAAACTATGTGACTCGGTAGAAATATTTTTAGACACAGAAAAAAATAATTTTTCAACTGACTCAGAAAATAATAATTTTTTTTATCCCTCAAGATTGATTTGTTTATGCAAAAATTATTGTCATCCTTACAAAAATTCCTAGACTCAAAAAGAATAAAAAATCTTCGGAGTCTTCGCTTCACTTCAAAAAACTGCGTAGGGGTGAGCATGAAATTTATCGCCGAAACTTCTTGATGCCCTTCTTTGCTTTTCTCGGTTCGAATAAATTTTCGAATATCGATTGAATTTAAACATCCTGTTTGTCATTCATCAAAACAAAAAAAATATTCCAGAGAAAATAATAAAGGGGTTTGAACTCATGTCCAACAATTTCCCCCTTTTTGATAATGACAAACATAGTTGAGAAAAAGCAAAGTAGAATTCAAGAAATCCTTCCCTTAATTGATTCCCCCTGCAAGGTTAGAGAAGTGCAGTAAAAAATAATCAGAGTAATAAGCGGAAAAAGCAATTTTGAAAACCAAGTTTTCTCAACTATCCTTCCTTCCCCCTTTTGGCATTATCAATCGATATCCTTCCCCCTTAATCAATGCCGGGATTTTGAAGGATATTAAAAATTTTGCAAGAGTTTTCTTAAAAACTTCTAATTGCCACAAAGGGACAATATGTTCTAAAAGAGAACCATATTTCCAAACCAACAAACAAAAGCATAATTAGTAACATCATCATCCACCAAAAGAGTTATAACAACAATAGCAAAAAAAACAATGTATCATAATAAGTTAAGACAGAAGAGAAAAAAATAATCAAAGAGAGTTTGCCGGAAGAGCTCCTCCGCTGAAGCTGTGACGCGGGCCACGGTAGGAGCGGGAATGCTCGATACGAGTCATCCTCTCGTTAAGCTGGCGAACGTCGTCTCGGATGCATGTGAGAGTATCAAAGATTCTCTTCACCCAAAAAGGTTCTGGTGCTTCTTCTCTCGGACGAGTCCTGCGTTGACGAGTGACGCGTTTCGTGGTTCGACTTCCTCCGGCCTGAGATGACTCAGCTTCTGTCTCTCTCTCCACTTCGTCTCGAATGACCAAATCCAGATTTTGCTCATTTTCCTCGCGGTAGACAATCCGGGTGAACTTAGCTTCCGTGATAAAGCAAGTCTTCTTCACCGGTACCTGAGTGTCCCGAGTAAAATCCACTTTGCTACGAGCAAGGATATGCATGATCGGGATGGCAAAACGGAGATGGGAAAACCGAGTACCATCACTAAGTGCAACGACAAAGAAGTGAACCCAATCAAATTTGACATTGTTCAACAGGACGTGAAACAAACGAATATCATCCTTGTTGACAACGCCATGGTTCGAATCACGGGGCAACAAAACATAAGAGAAGATGTATTGTTGAACGCGTTGAATCAAAGTGAGGTTGATGACACTCGGGTTGCTAGAGTTTCTAAACTTGAGGTCACGAGAGTTTAACCCGAGTTGTCGCCAAATTACCTCATCTTGGAATGTTTCATCCAAGTTTTCGGTAATTTCACCTCGGCAAAGGCCAAAGAGAGAGGTCAAACCGGCACTATCAATTTCAATGCTTTTGCCGTCAACATAGGAAACGAGAGATGGCGAGTCTCCCTTAGTGGTACGAAGATTTGCATAAAATTGACGTATAAGATTTGGACAAAAGAATTCATACGTCAAGTGAATGAAACGAAGCAAATTTTGCTGAGCTAAAAGGGACTTACTCGGGGCATAGGTCGCCGATTTGAAGAGGTCCTTGTCCACAATCTTTGGGGAGACGATTTCCTTCGTGAGAAAGTTGTTGTGGAACCTCTCAACTGATGCTCCCGTCCTGAAGACAAGCCCGGTTTGAATGTGGAGGTATTTGCTTCCTTCTTTACGCCATGGACGTTCTTCTTCTTCCGCCGCCGCTGTTTCTTGTCGCGAGGAAGCGTTCTTGGTCCTTGGCATCTTCCCTCTTTGAATTGATGAAATTTGGTGAAAATTGTTGAAAAGATTGAAGGAATTTGTGAAGAAAATAGAGGAAGAAGACCTAGGGTTTCGCCGCCTCGGTCTCGATTTTCTGAGAGAAGTGGCGAGGAAGACGAAGCCAGGTCAATTTAAAAGACCAAAAATCGTATAATAATCGATTAATCAAAGTGATTTAATCGATTAAGGGACGCAGATGACACTAATCGATTTTAGATAACTTATTAATCGATTAAAGGTGAGGCAGAACCAAAGGAGTTTGCGCTGAAGGCTAATAATCGTTTAAACAAGGGCTATTAATCGATTAGGATAGACAGACGCGTCTAATCGATTTCTCTTTGAGGAGTAATCGATTAAAAACAAATTTGACAGAAAAAAAAAACATCAGATTCAAATCAGTTTGATTCCACGGGCCAAGATACCTGAAAGGCCCTGCAAAAAAAAGTTATAGCGCCTCCGACGCTCAAATTAGTATAATCAATAACAAGAAAGAATTAGTTCATAGAGATATCCAAAATGCCAAGTTCGTTCCGAATGTGGAAGAAACTCTCCCTTCTAAGGGGTTTCGTGAAAATGTCAGCCAATTGATGTTTCGTTTCAACAAACTCAATTGTGACATCTCCCTTTTGGACATGATCTCGTATGAAGTGATGCCTAATTTCTATGTGTTTAGTCCTTGAGTGAAGAACGGGGTTCTTCGTTAGACTAATGGCGCTCATATTGTCACACCTAATTGGGATGTGATCAAGTATAAGGCCGAAATCCACTAGTTGCTGTTTTAGCCAAAGAATTTGGGCACAGCAACTTCCCGCAGCGACATATTCCGCTTTAGTGGTGGAAAGTGAAACACTAACCAGTTTCTTACTAAACCACGAGATTAACGAATGACCGAATAAGTGGAAAGTACCGCTGGTACTTTTCCTATTGAGTTTGCAACCCGCAAAATCCGAGTCGGAATAGCCAACAAGATGACATGTCGAACCTTTGGGATACCAAAGACCTACGTTCAACGTGCCCGCGAGATATCGCATTATCTTTTTGATCGCAACCAAGTGCGACTCTTTAGGACATGATTGATACCTAGCGCATATACAAACGGAGTACATGATATCCGGTCTACTCGCGGTAAGATAAAGTAAAGAGCCGATCATACCTCGGTAGCTTGTGTTTTTACTTCTCCATCTAGTTTTAATATCATTGTGCACATATTATTTCACAATTTCAGTTTTATTCAATTACTTTTATTATTATTAAAAATTAAAAGTGAATGTCTAACACATACTTAAATTATAAGGTAATACTTGTTGTAAACTCAGTCATTCATTCATCATATACGGGGGTATTTATACATACACGGGAGGAGGTATAGTCTAGGTCAATAAGGAAACAAGATATTCTAAATAGAATAAGAAATATATCTGCCATATTTAACACTCCCCCTCAGATATATCATCATGCATTATACACTAACAACATTATGTTACTAGATAATGTTGGCTAGGTTCTTCAGGACCTATATTAACTGATACTGCAGGATCAGTTATGCTGCCTCATTAAAAACCTTACTAAGAAAACCCAGTGGGACAAAACTTAGTTAAGGGAAAAAGAGTACAGCGTGTATAATGTTTTTCCTAAAAATAAAAATATACTCCCCCTCAAACTAATTTATCTCTTTTAGCCTGCGAAGTCCAATCTTCTTTATGACTTGATCAAAATTGTGTCTAGGCAGCGATTTGGTGAATAAGTCCGCCAAATTTTGCTTGATTTAACTTGAAGAACATTGATCTCTCCACCTTTCTACAGATCAGATGTTGAGAAAACTTTGATGAGATTTGCTTTGTTTTGTCTCCCTTGATGTAGCCTTCTTTGATTTGAGCTATGCATGTTGTGTTGTGTTTATATATAATTGTAGCATCCTTCTTGATTTCTTTCAAACTGCATGCTCCTTGGATGAGATTGATCATCTATCTCTACCATGCTTGCTCTCGATCATTGTCTAATTTCACACTTAAAATTTGGTACTGCAGGACCAAGTACTTCTTCGCCCTCTTCTGGGAGGTGATTAGAGTGTTATGTATGTATATGAATGAACAACCATGGGTATGTTCAAAAGATGAGCTTTGTCCATATTTCAACATGTTAACATCTTCTGGACGTAGTTTAACTTATGGACAAATGTCCCATCATATAGGTGTTTAAAATACAATCGTAAGTATAATTTATGTCATGTCAAGATCTTCCATCTCAAAATTCTCTTTTCAAGAGTTCAACAGTTTTTTTATCTCTTCAGGAGATCTAATGATATTTATACGTCGACGTAAACTGCTATAATAAAGAATATTGAGAGCGATCCTTGAATGACAACACATAGGTTGATTTCAAATTTGTATATTTCCTTTTTTGAGATATTCACTGGGTCAATTGTACCACATATAACCAGATTACTTAAGACCATTCCACGATCTCTTCACACATATCTCAATGTATTAATTTTATTGCTTCTGGCATTTTGAATCCTTCAGGGATTATTATCACACAGATGTCGATTTCAAGTGTCCCTTATAATTATGTTATAACGACATCTATATCATTTATTTGAAGTCCTTTTGAGATTGCGAGGCCAATTAAAATTCTATAAGGATATTGCATCCACTAGTGGAGAATATGTTTCCTCATAATCAACTCAGATTAGGGAAAAACCCTTGCCTTACAAGTAGTACTTCATATCGCACAATCTCATTCATTTTATTTCTGTTGATTACAGACACCCATTTATAACCTATTGGTTTGACGTCTATGGGTGTTCAGACTTCAGGTCCGAAAATATTCAGTTTATCGAGTGACTTATATTCGACCTTCATGGTCTTTTGCCATTTGGCAAATCATTTATGTACTATCTACATATATTCTTCTTTGAGTTTTAGGCATGTAATCTCTTTTATTGATTACATCCATTTCCATAGCATATGCAAGAATATCCTTAACATGTGTTTCATTTTGGTTCCATATTGTACAGTCTCGTACATAATTAATAGAGATCTCATTTTCTTTCGGTACCGATGTTTCTTTAGGAAACTTATTCTTCTGGAATCATAGTAGTCTCTTCTAAGACATTTACCTCTTCTGGAGTTTCATTTTCTTCTGGAATAGTATTAGTCTTCTTCTGGGACAGTTACCTCTTCTGGGGTATCACTCATAATCATGTATGTGGTTTCACTGATAGCATTTTTGCTATCTTCATTTTCGAGGGTTTTTATCTTTGAAACCAATTATTCTCCCACATAAATTGTTCAATAGTCACTTCTGGGACTACCTTAAATCGAGCGATGCATAAGATGCTGGTATACGTAACTTTGTCACTCTGCTCATATATGTGAATGCATCGAGTAATTCATTTGCTCTTCTTTGCAAATCAGACTTCAAAATTACATTGACTACTTCAGGAGTCGAAAATTTACAATGATGCATTTCATATAATTTCTTGTATTACCAGTCTTTCATTATTCTTGTCTCCCCCTAAGACTGGGAATATTTCATCATAAAATTGACAACTAACTTACTTGGATGTTAATATATCTCCTGTCAAAAACTCTAAACATTTAACAATATACGAGGAGTTATAGCCAATGTCAATACACAGTCTTCTACATTATATTGAATGCATTGTGGGGGAGAGGGCATATAAGGCATACAATCAAACAATCAAATATTGTGCGAAGGGACAAACTTGTTTCTCTTCAAGAGATATCAAGTGTAAGAAACTCAAAATTTTGAAAATTTGACATTTTATTTATAGGGAAGGATTAATAAAAATGAACATGTGTATATAAAATACATGTGAAGGAGAACTTCAGGTTCTCATATGTTGGAACTGCATGTTCCTTATAATAAGATCATTTTTTTATGGTTGAGAAAATATCAAGAATTCACTTCTAACCAAAGTGTTTACAATTGACACATAAAATTCATAATGAACACTTTATTTGCAATATCTTAGTACAATCTTCTTTCTTGAACTTCAGGTTCACATCTTTAATTGAAGAATATATATAATCTAGCATATTCATGGAATTTATCTTCCATTCAACTCCTTCAAAAACCTTCCCTCAGCGTCTACCTACCATTATGGTATCTTGATAATTTATCTTAATTTAAACCCATTAAGCATCCGCTCCAAATAATTACCACATAAATGAAGATTCAAAATCTAGTATAAAATGATTTGTTCTCATAATCAAAAGTATAGCCACTAATTCGATGCACTTTGCATATTAACTAGAGATGTAGGCTCTTTTGTGACTAATGATGTTCAACATAACCTATAAATTATGTCCATAATATAATATATGGACAAATATCATAAACTTCAAGTTACGAGTTAATTGTCAACAAATATGACAAATATAACGATGCATCATATAAAACATTTAAATTGCCATCACGAATATGAAATGAATCTCAAGTCTCATTAGTAATAAACTCATAATAATCTTCTAATGAGAACAAGACTATAGGATCTTCTAGTCCTAGTAATAAAAGAAACTTCTAGTCCTTCAAATAGTACTCACTTGAGTTCTTAATGATTTTTTTCTTCACATCACAAACTAAATTGTTATAATTTAATTGGTTATGTTTAAAATAACAATTGGTTCCGTAAACTTCCGATTTACGTGAAAACAAATCTCGATCAAGTGTCATGTAATATTCATTTCCACTGTATCTTAAACATTAACAAAGACACCTGAAACAATAAGGATTTGTCCATACCCAATAGAATATTCGTCAATGCGGGACAATAACTATCATCTCAAAATATTCAATATTTATGAGACTTTTATTACTTCTATTATGCAGTTCTTATTCTGCAATGCTCTTCTGGAGCTATCTATAAGTTTTGTATAACAAGAAAATTATATTTATACTAACTTCTTTAATCACAAGAGAAAAGAATCTCTTTCATCTAAAAAATATAATGTGTATAGTCACTCCTTTGATTATAATATATTTACTACATCATTCTTCAGGAATATTTATGAGGAATCATATATTGATTAGAACAAAGGTCTTGAAATATCAAAACGTGTCTTTATAAAGAGATTTTTTTACTAAAAATAAGCCACTTCAGGTGGAAATTAAATATTATAAGACCTTAGGTATCTCATATACCCATATATTGTGTTTGACGAACATGA